ATATATATTTCAAAGAAACATTTATATATGTTTGCCAAATGACCTATTCAAAAAAATTCATAGAGGTACTATTTTTTAAGAGTCCCAAACTGAAAAAAACCTACATATTTCTTAAGTGGACAGTCAACAAATAAATTGTGTCATATTTATCCAGTGGAAGATTATACACCAACAATAATAAATGAACTACAAATATTTACATTGTTGAATGTCACAATCATAATGTAAAGAAAAGCCAATTCTATAATCTTTCATATCTATAAAGATCTAAAAGAGTGAAACCAACCTATAGGGTCATAGGTCAAGAGATTGATTAGCAACCATTGGGGATGCATAAGGGGGTATGATTTGGAATAAGGTTAATTTCTATTTCTTAACCTGATAGTATTACCATGGTTCTGTTCATTTTGTAATAATCTGTCAAACTGGAAATTAATCATTTGAATACTTTTTAAATGAATAGTATACCTAAAAAAAGTTTAAACATATTAGACCTAAAAAATAAACCAGGTAACATCTCAACTAATCTAATTCCTTCATAAACTGAGAGAGAGAGGGAGGGAGAGAGAAAGAGAATTATAAGAAATGAGAAAAAAAGGAAACACAGTAAATGTGTAGTCAGTGACATGAGGTCACTGAATCTGCAGGTTAACAAGGTTAGGACTGGAGTCACCAACTCATTCTGGTTTTCCCAGACTACCCCAGTCACATTCCTGGGGAGTCCCGCATCCTGGGACCCCTTAGTCCCAGGCAATCAGGACCATTGGTCACCCAGGAAGTGAAATGATTGATGCTTTCTCAGTCCCAGCTTCTGTTTCCTCCCACCTGCTTTGGTTCTGCTGTGCATATGCAAGAGATTATGCCAAACATCCTCTACCCAAGTGTCTGTGATCCAACCTGGATACACAGGTGGGGTGGGTTGTTCCAGAGAGATACCTGTCACAGTCTTGAATCAGGCTTTTGTGGGCAAACAGTCTTGGACTCAGGATTCAGGAGTCAATTTAACCTCATGAACATATCAGTATCATGTCCCTCACACAGGGATACTTCCCAATCTAAGCACAGCAGAATACACAAAACACATGTACTGACCCTCATGAAGCCATGAGGGGCTCTCTCATATGACCAAAATATGACCAAAACAGAAATGATTATGTGACCACCTTCCTTTATCTAAAAAAGTTTCTGTGAGTTATTCTCAACTAAGGAACACATTAAACACTTATTTCCTAAAGATTCATATCACGTAGGGAACAATTTCCTCCTTGACAATTTCTCTGTGATTACCAAAACAACATAAACAAAAACAAGGAAAGTCTTACTGATTGGTGCCAACATTGGGGGCCCAGTGTATAAAAACCCCAGAACGGAAGAAGTCCTCAGAATCTGACAAACTCACCTCTGAACAGAAACTCACCTTCTACACCTGACACCATGTGCTGCTCCCCTTGCTGCCAGCCCAGCTGCTGTGGATCCAGCTGTTGTGGATCCAGCTGCTGCTGCCGCCCATGCTGTGGATCCAGCTGCTGCCAGCCTTGCTGCCGCCCATGCTGTGTGTCCAGCTGCTGCCAACCTTGCTGCCGCCCATGCTGTGGATCCAGCTGCTGCCAGCCTTGCTGCCGCCCATGCTGGGTGTCCAGCTGCTGCCAGCCTTGCTGCCGCCCATGCTGGGTGTCCAGCTGCTGCCAGCCTTGCTGCCGCCCATGCTGGGTGTCCAGCTGCTGCCAGCCTTGCTGCCGCCCATGCTGTGGGTCCAGCTGCTGCCAGCCTTGCTGCTGTCCAACCTGGTGTCAGACCACCTGCTGTAAAACCTCCTGTTGCCGGCCTAGCTGCTGCTGCCGCCCTTGCTGTGTGTCCAGCTGCTGCCAACCATGCTGCCAGCCATGTTGCTAGTCATGCTGCCCCCTTTTCTGTGGGTCCTCCTGCTGCCAGCCTTCCTGCTGCTGATCACCTCACAGAAGAAACACCTTCATACACCATCTGTTAACTGACTCGCCATGTTGGGAAAAATTCAGTTCCTAGGCCTGGCTGATAACCCGCATGCTCTACTTCAATTTCTGTGACTCATTTGCCTGATACAAACTTGTGAATCAGCTGGATGGAGAGCAGATGACGTCCCCAATCCTCTTCCTCCCGGGTTGGTGGATCATGTATCAGCTTTGAGCATCCTCAATATGGAGCTATGGTCTCTGATTTGACTCTGTAGTCAAGATCTTCACCCTCTCCCTCTGTGTAACTTAGAAAAACAAATTTTGTAACTGAAACTGCTGAAAATCTTCTCAATCCTGTTATATTTCCCTTGCACTCCTAGTTCCTGTAATCCTGCTT